TATCCCCAAAATGCTATGGCCACTGACCCCATATCCCCCCAACCCCACAGTCAACCATCCCACATTCCCCCAACTCCATGTCTGCCCACCTTACAACCATCCAGCCCACCAACTCCCATTGTCATCCCCCCGTGCCCAGTGACCCTATATCCCCCCTGACTCCATAGCAGCCACCTGACCCCATGCCCACTCACCCCACAGCCATCCAGCCCCACAGCAATCATCCCATATGACACCAGCCCCACAGTAAACCACCCCACAGCCTCCCACCCCCATGGTCAATGACTCTATATCCTCCCTGACCCCACAGCCACCCAACCCCATGCCCACCCACCCTACTGTCATCTCCTCAGCCCCGTGGCCAGTGACCCCATATTCCCCCAACCCCATACCCACCCATCCCATCACATTCAGTTACCTCTGCCCATCCACCCCATGGCCACCCCATCCTCACCCCCACCCACCCCATTGCCACCCCATTCCCAAATTCAACCACCCCAGAGCTACATCGAACCCATAGCCAAATCCAACCACCCCACGGCCAGCCCACAGCCACATCCACCCACCCCATACTCAAGTCCACCTGTCCCATGGCCACCCCATACCTATATGTCCAGCCACCCCATATCCATAGCCACTCCATACCCACATTAACCCACCCCACACCCTGTACCCCAACCTGGTGCTTACGGGGTAGCAGGTGAGGGCTGGCCAGCAGATTGGGGACGCCATGTTCCAGGAGTGCTGGGGGTCCCGGGGGGGGCAGCTGTGGGGGCAGCTGTTGGGTCAGCTGTGGGTTCAGCTCAGGGGGCAGCTGTGAGGTCAGCTCAGGGGGTGGCTCAGGGGGCATGAAGGGCACTGTGGGGTCGGCGTTGCTGAACGGGGGGTGCTCCTCGTGCCAGGGGGGCACTGGGTCCATCCCACAGTCTAGGGAACAGTGGGGTGAAAGGGTGGCCAGAGGAGCCCCCACGTCACTGCTCCCCGTAGGACACTGCTGCCCCATAGACAGACACCTCACAGGGTGCCTGCCCCGCATCAACCCCTCCCCTCTCTCCACTGATCCTCTGTGGGGAGCCCCCACCCCACTGATTGCCACTACGGGGTGCCCCAACTCCACTGCCCCCCATGGGGAATCCACACACTGTCGACTCCCTGTGGGGTTTTCCTCCCACGAGATGCTCCACATCACCCTTCCCCCACTCCATTGATCATCTATGGGGAGCCCCCACCCCACAAACTGTCCCCCACGGGATACCTCCCCCCTGACTTTCCCCCCTGGGGTAACCCAATCCCATTGTCTCCAATGGGATATTCCCACCACATTGCCCCCCATGAAGCATCCCCACCCCACTGACCTCCATAGGGTGTCCCCACCCCACTGTTCCCCCATAGGCTGCCCCCCCACTCCATTATTCCCCTATAGGACACCCCATATCCCTGCTGACCATCGATGCTCAGAGACATCAGCTTCTGCAGCTGCAGGGAGAGAGCAGGCAGTTATGGAATGAGACACCCCCGAATGTGGGGCAGGGGACCCCCAAGTGTGGAGTGGGGGACCCCCATCTGTGTGGCAAGGGCCAGTACCTCACTGACATCTTCTTCCTCCTCCTCTTCCTCCCCACCGCAGCTGAAGTCATCCCCGGTCACCGTGTCTGGGAGGAAAGAAATGGGTCCCATGGGGTACTGAGACCCTACAACACCCATAGCGACTTGCGGGATGCCAGGTCCTCACAGGGTGATGGGACACTGCAGGGTGCTCAGCTTCACATACCCCATGCCACTTATGGGACCGCACAGACCCCCATGTCTCCACCTGAGCCCTCCCCAGCCCCATACCTGCTCCGTCGGCCCCACAGACCTCGTACACCTTATAGGGCCGGGGGGGCACAGCGCGGGTGCCATCGTAGCGCAGGCAGAACTCGCGGCTCTTGTTGAGGGCACAACGCAGCGTCGCCTTCCACTTGGCAGGATCCGGCTCATCCCGCCCCGCAAGGAACTTCCCTGTCTCTGCTGCCCATGCCTGTGGGGTCAGTGGCGTCAGGGAGACTGGGGTAGGGTCATTGGGGTCATCAGAGTGGGGTCAGTGGAGTCAGTGGGTTGGGATTATTGGCATTGCATCATTGGGTTGTGGTTAACGGGGGTGGGGTCATCGTGGTTGGATTGGGGTAATCGGGTTGGGGTTATCGGAATGGGGTCATTGGGTTGTTGTTACTGGAGTGGGGTTATTGGGGGTGGGGTCATTGGACTGGGGTCATCGTGAATGGTGCATTTGAGGCATCAGAGTTGGGGTCGTTGGGTTGAGGTCAACATGGTTGGGGTCAACATGGTTGGGGTTATTGGGGTTAAGGTCATCAAAATTGGCTTGGAGTCATTGGTGTCAGGGTCATTGAGGTGGGGGTCAGTGGGTTACTGGGTTGGGGTTACTGGTGTTGAGTCATTGGTGTGGGATTAGTGCGGTTGGGGTCATCATAGGTAGATTTGGGTCATCAGGTTGGGGACATTGGGCTGGGGTCATGATGGTTGGCTTGGGGTCATTGAAATGAGATCAGTGGGACTGGGGTCATTGGGGTGGGTTTATTGGGGTCATCGGGTTTGAGGTCATGGAGGTGGGGTTAGTTGGGATTATCAGTGTTGGGGTCATCAGGTTGGGGTCACTGGGTTGGGATCATCAGGCTGGGGTCACTGGGTTGGGATCATGATGGCTGTGTTGGGGTCATGGGTTGGTGCTCCTGGGGTCATCAAGGTTTGGGTTCATTGGGGTTGTGGTCATCAAATTGGGTTGGGGTCAGTGGGTTTGGGGCATTAGGTTTGGGGTTTGGGCCACTAGAGTTGATTTAGGGCCAATAGGGTTGGAGTTTGGGCCACTAGGTTTGGGATTAGGGCCACTAGGGTTGGAGTTTGGTTACTAGTGTTGGATTAGGGACATTATCTTTGGGGTTTGGGTCATTAGGGTTGGGGTTTGGGCCATTAGGGTTGGATTAGGGTCACTAGAGTTGGGGTTGGGACATTAGGGTTGGGTTAGTGTCATTAGGGTTAGAGTTTGTGTCATCAATTTTAGGATTATGGTCATTAGGGTTGGGGTTAGGACCAGCAAGGTTGTGTGGGGTCATTAGGACTGGGATTTGGGCCACTAGGTTTGGCTTCATGTCAATAGGGTCAGGGTTTGGACCACTAGGGTTGGGTAAAGGCCAGCAGGGTTGGGGTTTGGGCCACCAGGGTTGTGTCAGCGTCATTAGGATTGGGATTTGGTCTGCTAGGGTTGGGATTTGGGCTGCTGGGTTGGGGTTAAGGCCATTAGGGTTGGAGTTAGGGCCGCTAGGGTTGGCTTAGGATCACTAGGGTTGTGGTTTGGGCCACCAGAGTTGTGTCTGGGTCATTAGGATTGGGGTTTGGTCCACTAGGCTTGGGGTTACGGCTGCTAGAGTTGTCTTAGGGTCATTAGGGTTGGGGTTTGGGAAACTAGGGTTGAGTAACAGCCAGCAGGGTTGGGGTTTGGGCCACCATAGATGAGGTGTGGGCCACCAGTGTTGTGCCAGAGTTATTAGGATTGGGATTTGGGCCGCTAGGGTTGGGATTTGGGCTGCTAGGGTGGGGATTTGGGCCATTAGGGTTGGGATTTTTGCCATTAGGGTTGGAGTTAGGGCCACTAGGATTGGCTTAGGGTCACTAGGGTTAGTTTGGGCCACCAGACTTGTGTCTGGGTCATTAGGATTGGGGTTTGGTCCACTAGGCTTGGGGTTAGGGCCATTAGGGTTGGAGTTAGGGCTGCTAGGGTTGGCTTAGGGACATTAGGGTTGGGGTTTGGGAAACTAGGGTTGAGTAACAGCCAGCAGGGTTGGGTTTGGGCCACCATAGATGAGGTGTGGGCCACCAGTGTTGTGTCAGGGTCATTAGGATTGGGATTTGGGCCGCTAGGGTTGGGATTTGGGCCATTAGGGTTGGAGTTAGGGCCACTAGGATTGGCTTAGGGTCACTAGGGTTGGGGTTTGGGCCACCAGAGTTGTGTCAGGGTCATTAGGACTGGGATTTGGGCCACTAGGGTTGGGGTTAGAGCCACCAGAGCTCAGGTTCCGGTCGTTCCAGCCGTTGGGTCATCCAGGATCACCTTGAAGACGGTGTCATCATCGCCGCCGTGTGCCGGGAAGTGCCGCGTGGCGTGGTGCCATGGGATCACAAAGAGCCGGCGCCGCACGTCCAACCAGTGCAGCCCTGGGAAACGGCCGCTGTCCACCTGGGCCACCAACCATGGGCGCAGGCGCACGCGGCGAGGCACTGGGGATGCCATCGAGGACAGGAGGGACACCAGCAGAGGTCGTGCGGTGATGAGGAGGTGACACGGCGCAGGACGTGGTGAGGCACGTGGGGAACTGTGTGATGCAGTCGTGGAGATGCCGTGGTTAACGATGGGTATTTGTGGTCATCCAATAGGTGTTGTCACCTCTGGTCACCCATCATTCATGGTCATCTGTCACTTGTGGTCGCCTCTGGTCACCTCTGGTCACCGATCACCCATGGTTGCTTCTAGTCACCTATCACATCTGGTCAACTTTGGTCACCCAACACTCATGGTCACCTGTCACTTACGGTCACCCATGGTCACCTCTGATCACCTGTGGTCGTCTGTGACCTCTGCTCATCCATGATCACCCATGGTCACCTGTCACTTAAGTCACCCATGGTCACCTCTAGTCACCCACAGCCGTCTGTCACCCATGATCACCACTGGTCACTCATTGGTCAATTTTGGTCACCCATCACTCATGGTCGCCTATCAACCATGGTCACGTGTCACCCACAGCCACCAACAGTCACCCGTGGTCATTCATTGTCACCTATGACAACCTCTGGTCACTCATGGTTACCCTACACCCATGGTCACGTTTGGTCACCTATGACCACCCAACATCCATGGTCATCTGTCACCCATGGTCACCTAACCCCCTTGTCATCTGCCATTTATGGTCACACAGCCACCCAGCTGGTGATCACCAGTCACCCATGGCCACCAATGGTCACCCATGGTCATCTGTCACCACGGTCACCTCTGGTCACCTATTGCCCATGGTCACCTGCTACTTAGGGTCTCCCATGATCACCTCTGGTCAACCCCGGTCACTCAGCATCCAAGGTCACTTGTCACTTTTGGTCACCCACGGTCACCTCTGGTCACCCCTAGTCACTCAATACCCATGGTTGCCTGTCACCCATTGTCACCCATGGTCACCTCTGGTCACCCTCCATGTGTGCTCTTTAGGGTGACCTGTCCCACCCCACTCAGCCACTTCCGCTCACCCCACAAACCCCACCACCCCAAAAGTGTCACGTGGGTCACACAGTGACATCAGCCATCCCTGGGGACACAGGGTGGGGACAATGACAAAAACGGGGACCGAAAGAGGAACTGGTCCCTGTGCCCCATGGAAAGGAGAAGTGACACCGCAGGGTAGGGTGGGGGGCTGGAGGGGGATGGGAGACATGAGGCCACCGTGCAGCCTCCATGAAGACCCCATAAAGCCACCGAGATGCCATCTGGAAGCACCCACAATCCCACTGTGAAGCCCTCCAAGATGCCAGCATGATGCCACCACGATGTCACCATGGAGTCCCCCAGGATGCCACCGCAATCCCACCATAAATTACCCACAAAGACTCCCAGAAGCCACCATGAAGCCCCCCCAGATGCCACCACGAAGCCACCATGACCCAACCATGAAGCCTCCCTCAAGAACCCACTATGAAGATGCAACAAAGCCACCATGAAGCCCCCATAGATGCCACCACGAAGCCCCCCCAGATGCCACCACGAAGCCCACCATGAAGCCCTCCTCCAGAAACCCACCATGAAGACCCCATAACCCCTTTGCAGCCCCACAAGAACCCCTCATGGACCCCTCCCTCCACTCTCACCCCTCTCCAGCACCCTTCGCTGCTCCCCTCCAAACACGCTTCCTCCCACATTAGCATCTCATTTGCATACAGCGCGCCACGCCCCCGTTCCGTGACGCGAGGGGTTGGGAGGAGCCTTGCCGCTTTAAGGCGGGCCACACCAACGTGGCCACTTTAAGAAACGCCCCTCCCGCCCCCTGCCTGCAGCGATTGGCTGCGCTCTCCTCACTCCCGCTCGCTATTGGTTGAGAGCAGGACTAGGGCGGGTTCTTCCGCTTCCGGTCGCTTGGCATTGATTGATTAGTGCTTAATATCACTTTTATTATTATTATCATCAGTAATATTATTATTTTTTCATCCTTTTCTATTCACTATTACTGATCTTGTTATTTTTATTGTCTTCGTGGCTATTATTAATATTAATATTAATATTAATATTAATAATATTAATATTAATATATATTAATATTAATATATAATTATTATAAGTAATAATAATAACAATAGTTATATAATAGTTTATCATTTTGCATTAATACAGCATCTTCAGAGAATATAATAATATAAAACAACACAATAATATTATTTAATATTATCATTAAGATTACTAATGGGATTAATTTTATTAATAACAACATTATGGTTATTGCCTCAAATCCCCCATAATTCCCATTGTTACCACTACGTTGATTATTAACATTATTATTACTATTATTATTATTGCCCAACTTCGCCCACTTCAACACTATTTTTTATTCTTATCCCATTATTATAAACATTAACATTAATTAATATTGTCACCATTATTAGTGCCCCAGCTCCCCATTTTCACCATTTCCATGTTTCCGATGCTGATTAATGCCCCAATATTATTAGCAGCAATATTTTCCCGATTTCTGCCCAAATTTATCACATTCCATACTCTTATTAATGCATTACTGATTATTTTTATTATTAAGTGCCCCAACCCCTTCATTACCACCACTTTGGCCACTCTATTTCCTATCGCCGATGATTGCCCCATTATTAATGTTATTATTAGTGCCCCAATTCCTCGTACCACTACGTGCCATTGGCAACACAATTATGACTGATAACGTTTAATATCTTTGTTATTAAGTGCCCCAAATCCCCCATTATTTCCCCTTTTTTTAGGGTCCTTTTTGGGGTCCCTCATTTTGGGGGGTCTCCGTTTGGTGTCCTCCTATTAGGGTTCTTAACTTGGGGGTCCCCTTTCTTAGGGGTTCCATTTAGATTTCCCCTTTTGGGGTTCCCCTTTTTGGGTCCCCTTTTTTGGGGTTTCCATTTTGGGAGTCTCCTTTTTTATGGGTTCAATTTGGTCCCATTCTGGGTTCTCCATCTGGGGTCTCCATTTTGGGTGGCCCCCTTTTTTAGGGGCCCCATTTGGGGGTTCCCTTTTGGGGTTCTCATTATGGGGTTCACTTTTTTAGGGGTTCCATTTAGGGTTTCCCTTTTCGAGTTCCCCCTTTTGGGTTCTCCCTATTGGGGTTTGCGTTTTTTGGGGTCCCCCTTTTGGGATTCCCATTTTGCAGTTCCAATTTTGGGGTCTCCCTATTGAGGTCTCCGTTTGGAGCCCTCTTATTGGGGTTCCAATGTTTGGGTTCCCCTTTTTTAGGGGTCCCATTTGAGATTTCCCTTTTGGGTTCTCTATTTGGAGTCCCCCTATTGAGTTTCTCATTTTGGGGGTCCATTTTTTTAGGGATTCCGTTTGTGGTCTCCCTCTTGGGATTCCCATTTTGGGGTTTTATTTGGGGTCTTCATACCTCTTGGGGTATGTATTTTTGGGGTCCCCTTTTTTAGGGTTCCTACTCGAGGTTCTCTATTTGAGGACCCCCCCTATTGAGTTTTCATTTTGGAGGTCCTCTTCTTTAGGGATTCCTTTTGGGGTTCTCATTATGGGGATCCCCTTTTTTAGAGGTTCCATTTAGGATTTCCCTTTTGGGGTTCCCATTTTGGGGTTTTATTTGGGGTCTTCATGCCTCTTGGAGTATGCATTTTTAGGGTTCCTTTTTTTAGGGGTCCCCCTGTTCAGTTTCTCATTTTTGGGGTCCCCTTTTTTAAGGATTTCATTCGGCATCCCCCTTTTGAGGTTCTCATTTTGAGGTCCCCCTTTTTGGGGTTCTCATTTGGGTAAGCGCAGCCCATCAGCGCCGTGGCTGCACCACCTGGGTGGGGCGCTGTGCATCCGCAGCTAGTACAAGGCCGTGGTGTCCCCTCTATCCCACCGCACTCTATGGTTCGCGCTCCCTCCCATCCCTCTCCGCTCTATGGTTGCGCGCCAGGCAGAGCAGCCCGCACTATCCCGCGGCGCTATGGCGCCTCCTGGCGGAAAGCGGTTAACTGCACAAGACTCCGCCTCATCACCGCGCATGCCGCGAGTCGCATGGTCCCGCCCCTTCCGGTGAGTCACTTCCGGGTGTGGGCGCTGCGGCGCCGGCCAGGTGGGATGGGGCGAGGGGGCAGAGGGCTGCGGGGAGGGGGGTGGGGGAATGGGAGGGGAAGGGAGGCGGTGAAAGGGCATCAGGAGGGTTTGGGGGTTGGGGAGTTGTTGCAGTGTAGAACAGAGTCAGAAAGCAACGGAGGGCGTAGAGATGGGGCTCAATCAATGGGCAGCGGGGTCAGAGGGCACAGAGGGAGGGCAGGAAGCCAGGAGACCGGGGGGGGTCTATGGGGTGAGAGGGCAGCGGGGTGGGGGACGCGGCTGCCGCCGTAAAGGCTCTCACGGCCGCCCCTTCCTCCGCAGCCCCCCGCCACGGCCATGGCTCTGCTGCCCGCCCGCTGCCTGCGCCGTCTCCCCCTCCGCCCCCCGCAGCTCCCAGCCCCATCCCGCGGGCTGAGCGGAGCTCGGGGGGGTCCGACCCGGTCACTGCCCCTGGGCCGCCGCTTGGCCGTAGTGGCGGCGGTGGGGAGCGCGGCTGGGGGAACGTGGCTGTATTTGCGGGCCCGCAAAGAACGGGAGCGACGGGAGAGACGGCAGCGGGAACTGCGAGCTTTGGCGCTGGGGCAAGGCAACTTCCAGCTGGTGGATCACCGCGGGCAGCCCCGCTGCAAAGCCGACTTCCGCGGCCAGTGGGTGCTGCTTTACTTCGGCTTCACGCATTGCCCCGACGTCTGTCCGGATGAGCTGGAGAAACTGAGCCGGGTGGTGGAGCTGTTGGACCGCGACGCGGCTCTGCCCCGGGTGCAGCCGCTCTTCATCACTGTGGACCCCGAGCGAGACGATGTGGCCGCGGTGCGACGTTACGTGCGGGATTTCCACCCGCGGCTGCTGGGGCTGACGGGGAGCCCTGAGCAGGTGAGGGCGGTGAGCAGCGCCTATCGTGTCTACGCCAGCGCCGGGCCTAAGGATGAGGATGGTGATTACATTGTGGACCACACCATCGTCATTTACCTGCTGGGCCCCGATGGGCTCTTCCTGGATTACTACAACCGCAGCAAGACGGCTGACAAGATCGCTGAGAGCGTGCGGCGACACATGGAGAGCTACGAGCCGCTCCTTGACTGAGGATTGCAGCCATGCCAGGACAGGGGAAGCCCCCAGAGGGACTCTTCTTGCTTCCATAAACCCTGCAGGGATGCTTTGTTCACGTCCCCAAAAACAAGGCTGACTTTACCAAAGTTGGGAGGTTTATTGCTGGGAGCAAGGGGAGCCCTGGTGCTGGGGGATCGTAGGGGATGGGGGCTGTACAGAATGGATGGGGGGGGGGGAGAAAAACAAGGGGTGAGGGGCTCATTGGCAGGCTGAAGGGGCCACGTAGGTGCGGAAGCGCTCGTGTGCCCGCTCCCGTGTCAGCAGCCGCAGCCGTACTGTGTCCACCGCCTCCTCCAGGCCTGGGTCCTGTGCCACCTCCACGGTGTAGTCATTGGCCTGGGGAGAGGAGCAGGGACCGGGGGGCTGCAGCAGGGACCGGGGGGGCTGCAGCAGGGACCGGGGGGCTGCAGCAGGGACCCCTTTCCCCCTCCTCCTGTCCCCCCCCCCCCAGGAACTCCCTCCCACACTCACCAGCTGCAATGAGGCCAGCATGTAGCGGCACACCTCGAAGGGGGGCAGACCGGCCACCAGGCTGGCAAAGGACTGCCACTCACCCAGGCTGCCAAAGCGAGCTGCCAGCCTGTCCCCATAGCTGTGGATGTCGAAGGCCGTGCGCTCCTCCTGTAAGACAGGAGGGTGAGTCTCTGCCTCCCCCTCCAGCCCCACTGCTGGTCCCCTAACTCCCTCAGCAATGTACCTGCTCCTGCAGTGCCGGCCCCATCTTGTCCTCCCAAAGGCGGATGTGCTGGGAGAGCTCTGTCTCCTGTACATACCTCTGGGAATTGGCAATGAACAGCTCCTGCAGGTGCAAAGGGATGCAGGGAGAATGAGGAAGAGGACAACGTGGGGATGAGGGACGCCTACGGCACCCACGCTGTCCCCCTGCCCTGAGCTCAGGCGCAGCACTTACCACGTTCTTCCTCACCAGCTCCTCATAGCTCAGCGCGTCCGCATCACAGGGAGCTGTGAGAGGGCAGTGTCACCAGGGTGGTGGGGGCAAAACTGTGTGCCTGGTCCTGGGCCACCAGGTGAGGACAGGGATGCATGTTCCCCATGGGTGGGACACAAAGCCAGAACCCAGCGGCTGCTCAGGACGCGCCGCAGTGGCTGAAGGATGGGGTACCCTCCTCACAGCTCCCCCAGGGGCTCACCCATAGCTTTCTCGACTAGATTCTCCACATCCTCCTCCTGGATGTCCTCGTGCTCCACAAAGTCATCTGCAGGAAGAGCAGACCGTGCTCAGGACCTCCCATGGCCCCCACAGCAGCTCAGCCCTTGGGGGCTCCAGCAGTACCAGCTGCTTCCCCATCCTCTTCGTTGCCCCGCTCCTCCTCCAGCACATCCAGCTCTTCCTCCTCCTCTTCCTCATGCTCTGGTGGTAGTGACAAGGGTGGGCCCTGGGGAAAAGCAGCACTGAGCCCCTACCCAGCGTGGTTCCCACCATAACTCCAACCCTTCCTGCAGATGCTCACCATCCTGCTCTGCAGCTTCCTCTGTGCCGCCAGCCGCTCCTTCTGCTGCTTCCAGTACAGCACATCCAGATCTGCACAGACAGCATGGGCACAGATCAACACCCACCTGCAGCCCCTTGAAAGGCTGAGGCTGCCTGGATTCCCCCTCCCCCCCCCCCAGTGTGATTTTGGGGCTGCAGCCCTGCCTTAGCATCCGTCCTTCTCTCTGCATGTCACACCACTGCTGCGCCAACAAGCAGGGAGCTCCCCAGCCTCCCTGAACGTGGAAGAGGTTTTGCAGCAAAAAAAGGGGCAAGGCTCTATGTAAGCAACGTTTAGAGGCTGCTTTTCAAGTGAGGAACGGCTGCAGGACCGGAAGTCACAGATTTCTGTGTTGTGAACATTAAACACAACAAATCCTCACCCGTCTTAAGTTGTCAAACTGCTCATTCCTCCTATGTCCTTTGCTTCAGCCCTCAGCCTCGCCGCAGCAACCTGAGCTTTGCAGCCTGCAGGGTGCCCCTTCTCCAAGGTGTTTCAGCTCTCAGTCACCCCAGTAAGGATTACTGCCCCTTCCCCGTGCAAACCCGACCCCACGAGGGCTTCACAGCACAACTGCTGCACCTGGAGCCCTGCGCATCACTGCAGCCTGCACCCCAACTCACCAGCAAACGTCGGTCCTTTCCTCCTGGTTTTCCTGCAGTCAGCACTGTTGTTATCTGAGAAGAACAGGATTGCAGTTAGAAACCCCTACAGGTGCAACCCAGCGAAGAGAACAGACAGCACCCAGGTGAAGTCCGGCCACAACACTCACAGGTGGCAGAAAACCATTTCAAGAAGTCCTGAAGCTTTCTGGATCCCTTCCTTTTCCTCTTGCTACCAACCACGTCATCCACGCCATGTGGCACCAGGAAGGGCCTCCCTGCGGGGCAGAAGGAGATGATCTGCAGGGAGAATCCCGTTCCACCCTTTGGAGGTGAGCAGCCCCAAGGCAGGGGAGCAGGTGCTCTTCCGCAGCCCCACCTCAAATACCTTTCCTGAAGGGTTTGTCCTCAGAGTCACCAAAGGGGTCAAGGCTTTGCCAGGGATCCAGCATCTCCTGGTGGAAGAAGCGAGTGTGTCTGAGCACTGGCAGAGCACCGTGGGGCACGCTGCAGCTGTGTGGCTCTGCAAACCCTTCTGTGGGTATTGGTGCAGCACTAAGCGCAGTGCAGAGCGCTTCCCACAGCATGCAGGCTTCAAAAGGACAAGAGGTGAAGGCCTTGCGTTGCACCAGGGGAGAATCAGGGTGGGTATCAGGGAGAAAAAAAAGAAATCCTTCTCCAAAGGAGTGGCCAGGCTGCTCAGGGCAGTGGAAGAATCCCCACTTCTGGAGGTGCTCAAGAGACATGAAGATGCAGCACTTGGGGGCATGGTTTAGAGCGCATCGTGACGATGGGTTGACAGTTGGATTTCTCTTTCTTTGAGGTCTTTTCCCAGCTCCACGATTCTAGGATTTGCTTTTCTCTGTGTCTGCCCCCCCTTACCTTGATGTGGGGCTGAAGGTCCTCAGCAGGGGCTCGCTGCCGCAGCACGTAACCCTTCACCTGGGGCACACTCTGGCAGACACAGAAGAAACATCAGGCAGCGAGCCACAGGGCAGCCAGGCTCCAGGGCCTTACTGAGCCCTGCCTGCCCTACCCGCTGTGGCTCAATGCGTTCATTGGCAGCTGGAGTCACTTCCATGTTGTCCTCAGGGTCTGCAGGCAAGTCATCCCCACCATCGTGGTCATCATCTGGTCCTGCAGCACCTGGCAGGGCGAGCAAACGGTCAGCAGCCATGAGATCATCAAGGATCTCCCTTTTCTTGCTCTACCTGACGAGGATTTTCCCTGAGGAATGGGCTTTACTTCGCAAACCATGGCAAACAAACAGGTCAGGGGACAGAGCAGGAGCACCCCACGCTGCCTGAAGGCAGGACAGCCCAGCCCAGCAGGATGGAGGGGCAGAGCCCACCGATCCTGCACGTCTCACCTCCATCATCTGAGAAGTTCAGTGCCTGGACAGGCATCGCTCCGCTGCTCACACGTAGGGATTCCCTCCCACCGACCACAGAGGACGGCGCTCCTGTCAAGGGACAGAAGTGTGGTCACTGCGCTCTGCCCACAGGGCTTCAGATGCCAGCACAGAGCAGCTGTGGTGCTGCTCCTTCCTACCGAGGCCGACGGCCTCCCCAGCACAGCCCAGGGCACAAACCCCATTCAAGGGGTCAGCAATCTTTGGCTTAAGGCAGGGAGGCAGAGGAAAGGCAGTGCAGCATCTCCCGTGCCCAAGGAGCTGGGCTGTTCTCATTGCTTTTGCTCACATCCTCTCTCGAGGCAGAAGGGAAGCAGTGCCTCCCTGCTCTGTGCAGCCCACAGCCCCACTCCTCAAGATGAGGAGTCCAGCTCCTCACCCCAGCACTGTACCTACTGCCCCGCCGGCGTTGTTCTCTTCACGGTGCCGATCCTGCAGACACATTGGGGAGAGCCCTGCCAGCTCCAGCATGAAGGCTCCACTGGTGTGAGGGGTGCACGTGTTCATCCTGAAATCCTTCCTGCTGGCCAGGATCTCCCCCTTCCGGCTGCAGACATGGGGGCCGTCAGGTCTCCGTGGTCCCCCAGGACAGAGGGAGCAGATCCAAGGCATCCCCAGGCCAACAGGAATGCAGACTGTCCCCACTTGCCATTCTCTGGCTTCCCTGGCCATGCAAAGCCCTGCCTGCCCACCCCAGAGCAGCTCCTGCCTCACCACTCCCTCTGTCCTGCATCAGGACCCAGCCCCACATCTCAGTGCACTTGGGGTTACTCTTCCTTCCTCCCTGCCTGCCAGGGGAAAAGGAATAACCTTTCTGCCATGGAATGGGGAGAGTCAGACTGTGCTGTGAAGCAAGGTGGGGGCCAGCTGAAGGCTGGGGGACTTTCACCTGAACAGAGGGTTGTTTGTCTTCTCAGCCTCTTCTGGGGGAACCAAAGACATTGGAGTCAAGGGAACAACGTTCACAGCCTGCAAGAGAACAGGAGTCAAAGAGCTCTGCTGGGCAGGCAGCAGGGATTCAGTGAGGAGAGCCTGATATGAGGGAGGAGAGACCAGAAGGACAACAGCAGCTTCCCTTACACTGGGCTGATGGTCCATTTTCAAGTCCACGCTGGCCTGGCTGGTGTTGCTGATGTCATCCAGGGAAAGGAACTGCAGAGAGAGGACCACAGCAGTGACCAACAGGGCTACTTTCATTGTGCCATTGTGTCCCTTGGGGACCTCGTGGCCCTGATGGAGCAGAGAGGACACAGGGCAACCCCGTGGCTGGGAGAACAGCTGTGGCTTTTGAGGTTCTGGGCTGTTCTAGACAGCACTTGTAGGAGGAATCACAGAAACATTGGAAAGGACCTGTGGAGATCCCCTCAGCCATCTCTTCCCCAGGTGCACAGCCCCAGGGCTCTCAGCCTGTCCCTATCAGGAGGTGCTCCAAGACCCCACCACCTCCACAGTGCTCCACTGGGCTCTCATCAGCAGTTTCCAGCCTGCCTGGAACTGGGGGGCCCTGCAGTGGCTGAGCAGAGGGGATGAGCACCCTCCCCTCTGAGCCACCAGGGCACACTGCTGGCTCATGGTCAGGCCGTTGGCTACCAGGACCACAAGGTTCTTCTAAGCAGAGCTCCCTTCCAGCTGTTCAGCCCCAACCTGGGTCCTGATGCTGTGGTTCTTCCTCCCCAGGCATAGTCTTTGGTGAACCTCATCAGGCTCCTCTCTGCCCAACTGTCAGCCCACCCAGGTCAAAGGAAGGCTAAAACTCAGGGTAGAGATCTCTAAATGGAGCAGAGGGAATAAACTTCCCCAGCAGGGCTGCAAGGCAGCAGGTCCTGTCCTGTGGAGGCCAGCACAGAAATTTCACAACAGGAACCTCTCCAAGTGCTCCTGCCTTGCCTGGGTGCAGGAACAGGCAGCTGCAGGGCTGAACACCCTCTGCAGCAGCACAACACACACACAGCACACCTGCAGCAGCAGCAGCACACCCACCACCGCCTCCTCACCTCTTCCTTCTCCATCCCAAAGGTTGCATCGGCATCCTTGCCATCTGGTCCCACGGAGCAGGGCTGCTTTTCCCTCCTGCATCAAGGAGCAAAGACACAGTCAGAGGTCCAGCCAAAGGCAAAGCAGTGGCAGTTTTCCTACAGCTGCACTGCACGCAGCAAGCAAGGAGTTTCCAGCATCACCCTGAAGCAGAAGCACCCCAAGCACCACAGGCAGGAGAGTGAAGAGCACAGCGTGGCTGTCAGCACCATCAGCCAGCCGTGAACGGCATCAGCTCGTGCCCAAGGAGCTGCCATGGGTGCTCCTGGTGCTCCTCTGCTGCTGCCCAGGAAAGAAAACAAAGGGAGCTGTGAGAAAGAAGGGGATGGACTCTTCAGCAGTGTCTGTGTGATAGGACAAGGGAGATTGTTGCCAGCTAAGAGGGATTGGAGCAAGGTTTTGGGCTGGGGGAAGGTTGCTCACACAGCTGGTGCTGCCCCATCCCTGCATGCAGCTCTGAGCACTGATGGAGCTGTGGGGCTCCCTGCTCATGCAGGCAGTGGGACCAGGAGGCCTTTAAAGATCCCATCCAACCCAAACCATTATATGGTTCTTCTCAAAAAACAAAACAAAACACCCATCTCGTTACAGAAAACCTGTTTGCAGGCAGACAGAACTGCCTGTTGTAAGTTGATGCCTCCTTAGTGGGAACCACGGTCTGAGCCAGGCTGGCAGCAGACAAGTTATGAAAGACAGTTGGGAAACAGTGACAGCAAAAGCAGTGCCCTAATCTCAGCAGCAGTGGAGAAATAAATCACAAGTTGCTTTGCCATGTAGGCCAGGCTGTTGCACACTGGATTCTGCAGGATGCTGGGCTCTGCCCTCTCTTTACACAACAGCAGAGTGCTGTAAGAAAACCACAGCACAAAGCCACTGGAAGAGCTCTGGGGGAAGAGCTTGGCCAAGCCCTCCAAGCTGAAATAAGTCCTGCTGGGGCCTTCTGCAGAACTGCAGGGGCTTGGAAGGAAGCTCTGCAGGTCACCCAGTCCAGCTTCCTACCCCTGCAGCAGCAGCACACAGAGCATCCCAGCAGGTTTGGATCTCTGCACAGAAGGAGGCTCCCCCACCTCTCTGGGCAGCTGTGCCAGAGCTCTGCCACCCTCACAGCACACAGCTCTTCCTCACACTCACACACAACTCCCTGGCCTCCAGTCTGTGCCTGCTGCCCCTCGTCCTGGTGCTGGGCACCACCAAACGCAGCCCAGCCCCTTCGTCCTGACCTCCAAGCCTTCAGATACCCACCAGCTCTGCTCAGACCCCCTCAGCCTTCTCTTTTCCATGTGTACGTCTCATCCTCTCCTCATCAGAAAGGTGCTCCAGGCCCCTAATAATTTTTGTGTCCTCTCACCCCATCCCACAGAAACCCAAAGGTTCAGAGAACTTTTTACAGGTCCTGAGACCAACTCTGCAATAGGAAGGTCGGTTGCTGAAGCAAATGACTGCCCTCAGGGAAGAGAATTCAGCAGGGTGCTGCAATGGGGGAGGGGACAAGCAGGCGAGAAGCACACGGCCACTTTCTTTGCAACTACAGTGAAATCATGCAGGCAGATCCTGGCCCCTTCACAGGTGGCCTGTCCAGAGGATGGAGGGCATTACTCACTTCTTGTTGGAGATGGAGTCGAGTGCCTGGTAGACCAGTGAGTACAGGTACTCCACCTGCAAAATAGGAGCCAGACTTGGAGACAGAGAAAGCAACTCCCAGAAAAACCCTTCCAGCTGATGGCCACAACCCTCCTCTTATCCTCAGACAACCAGAGCTCAGTTTGTCCATAACCCACTTTATTCTTTTCCCAGTTCAAGCCATTTGGAGTGCAAGTTTGGGAAAGGAGAGGGTTACTGTTGGTTACTGTTGGTTTGTTTTCTCTTTTTTCCCCCCCATATTCCACCCTCTAGAGGGAAGTTGAGCAGCAAATTCTTGTTTTCCTTCCAAGATTTTCTGGTTTGCCAATGCCAGCACACATAAAGGGGCAGGATTCAGAAATTATACCCATTGGTTTTTATTACAACCAAGCCTTTCAAGCTCCAGGACAGCTCCCCAGGCAGCTCCTGCACAAACCTTGACCTCAGGACTACGATGTGGCAGTGCCCTCAGTGCTCACCTTCTTGCTGTAGATGCAGGCAGAGCCCTGGATTAACAGAGCTGCCTCTATGAAGTTCATGGTTGTTTTGCCACCATCAAAGGAAATACAGATTTGGTCCAGCTGTAAAATACAAAAGAAAAAGGGAAAATGAAGCGTCGATTCCCAGAATTGATTTGAGAGCAGCACAACGAAAGGATAAAATCCAGATCTTAGCAGCACACCTAACGTGGTGTTCAGGGCAACAAAACTGCTAAGTGAATGCAGAGAGGGAAAGCATCCTGTTCACAGCACCCCAGAGCCGTGGGGGCTGGAAGGGACCTGTGCAGCTCCCTCATTTCAGCCCTCACTCAGCTGTTCCCTGCAGCAGCTGCACAACCCAGCAGGTTTGGATCTCTGTACAGAAGGAGACTCCCCCACCTCTCTGGGCTGCTGTGCCAGGGTTCTGCCACTCTCACAGCACAGAGCTCTTCCTCACACTCACACACAACTCCCTGGGCTCCAGTCTGTGCCCGCTGCCCCTTGTCCTGGTGCTGGGCACCACCAAACACAGCCCAGCCTCCTCCTCCTGACCACAGCCCAAGGAGCTTCTCCACAGCCACGCTGCAAGAAGCAACATCCCCAGCACCCCCTAAAAGCAGAGAAGACTCAGAAGGGACAGATGTGAGACTGCTGGATTTCACAACCACACACATCAGCTAAGCAGGCAGCTCTGGGACAGGCAGGAGCTGTGCTGGGGCGTGAGCAGCAACCACAGGCAGCGACAAAAACTCTCTTTGTGCCCATAGCATTACAGAACCCTCACCTCCTCCAGGTACTCCCCAAGCTGTGCAGCCACGTCCACCTCCCAGTTCTTGGTAAGGTCACGGATGGGCTGCAGAAGGTGTGCAAAGCGTGACTCCACATCTTCCATGGCAGCAGCTGCAGGTTGGGTGGTGTTGGGTATCGTCCACTGACCGCTGTGCTCCCCCCACACCGCGGGTCTCTCAGGATGATGCCTGCCAGCAGTTGCCTGTTATAGTGTTACAGAATCATTGAAGTTGGAAAAGACCTCTAAGATCCCCAACCCGCATCACTAAGTCTTAAGAAAGACAGGGAGCTGTTGAAGAGGGTCCAGAGGAGGCCACAAAGATGATCAGAGGGATGCAGCACCTCCCCTACAAAGACAGGCTGAGGGAGCTGGGCTCATTCAGCCTGGAGAAGAGAAGGCTGTGGGGTGACCTCAGTGCAGCCTGCAGGACCTGAAGGGAGCCTATAAAGAGGACTTGGGAGTCAACTCTTGGAAAGGGGAGATAACAGCAGGACAAGGGGAAATGGTTTGGAGTTGAGGGAGGGCAGATTGAAGTTGGATGTCAGGAAAGTTCTTGACAGAAAGAGTGGTGAGGTGCTGGAACAGCTGCCCAGAGAGGCTGTGATGCCCCATCCATCCCTGGAGGTGTTCAAGGCCAGGCTGGATGGGGCCCTGGCAGCCTGGCTTGGTATTAAATGTGGAGGTTGGTGGCCCTGTATGAGGCAGGGGGGTTGGATCTACACGATCCTTGAGGTCCCTTCCCACCCAAACCATCCTGTGATTCTACCCCCAAGTTTAACACCTCCACGTTCCTAAAGGCAAAAAAAGGTTCAAAAAGCAGCAGAAGCCTTCAGCTTCAGGAGAATAAAGGCTTTGAGTCAACACACCCCACCAAAACCAAAGTAACCCTACGCGGGCACCGAGAGCCACAGAAGGGTTTGGGTTGGGAGGGAGCTCCCCAGAACCACAAAGCGGCTCAGACCCTGGGATCGGGGTTCGCTACGACTGCAGCCTCACACTCGCGCAAAGGCCACGCAAACACTCACCCACAGAAATGCGCCGGTTGGAACAGAATAAAGCGCAGCGCTCCTTCAGCCCCGCCCGCTAGCCGGTCCTCTCCGCGCCGCCATTTTGTGTTTCCCGCCCAAACGCGACGTCACGTGACGTCACACGTGACGCGACGCGACGTGGCCCGTGCGTGCGTGCGTGCTGACGTCACGGGAGGCGCGAGCGCGGGGACGTGTCGGTGCCGCCGGGCCCGCCATGGGGGAGCCGCCGCGGCGGCCGCGGGAGCTGTTCCTGGCAGGGTTGGCTGCGGCCTACCTCGCTGCCTTCGTCTCGCTCTACCTTCAGATCCCCGGTAAGCGGCCCGGCGGCTGCCTCCGGGGCGTGAGCCGAGGGATTCTCCTTCCCCGTTATGCGGACCGGGGCGGGGAGCGGGCTCTAAGGGTTCCTTGTGGGGGGGCAGCAGCCGGGGTTCCTCAGAGGGCTGAGGGGGGGAGGTGGGAGGGGATGAGGGGGCTGCTTAAGAGATATGGAGGGGATCCCTGCTTGGGGGGCTGAGGGACTGGGGGTTGAGGGACCTGGCCTTCCCCTTTCTTGAGGGTCTTGGGTCTCAGCTCTCAGAGGTCCCTTCTTAGGAAGGGGTGTCTCAAGGGGGTCCCTTCTGAGGAGGGGGGTCCCTTCTTGAGGTCTGAAGGGGAGACTGTTCTTGGTAGGCATGGTGTCCCCTTCGGGGATGTGCTGAAGGCTGGTGGCAGGGGGACAGCTGAGGTCCCCAGGGGGCTGTGGGCTTGGGATCGGTGTCATGAGAGATTGGGAGTAGCTGATCAATGAGCTGAGGTTCCCTGAAGGGCTTATATAGACAGCAGGGAGCAGAGATGGAGTCTTAGAGCTGTGGGAGGGTCCTGGGCCCTTCAGCTTCATCCCATGGGGAGCTGCTCCCTGAACCGCACCTTCCTTCCATCCCTTAGGGCTGTATGGACGTGATGGGATCCTGCCAGCTCGCCGGGTGCTGCGTCTGAGCGGGAAGGGGCTGTGGGAACAGCTGCGTGATGTCCCCACGCTGCTGTGGCTCGGCCCACACCTGGGGCTGGACACGGAGCAGGGCATGGAGCTGCTGTGCCTGCTGGGAGCCGTCGCCTCGATGGGTGCCTTGCTCTGCGCCCCGCTGCGTGACTGCCTGCTGTTTGCTGTGCTGCGGGTGTTCTACCTCTCACTCTACCAGGTATGGGTGCACGTGAGGGAGGCACAGGGACTGAGCTCTGTGCCCACTGCTTGTGGTTTTGGTTGAAGGAGCTGGCATGAGTCAGAGCAGTTGCAGCACAAGGGGTTTCCTCTTTCATTGTGTGCGCCCTCAGTCACTGCTGCATTGTGGGCAGCATCAACAGAAGGGGGGTTGGGAGACAGTGAAACGGGGTGGGGATTATCCTGCTCTGCTCTGCCCTTGGGAGAGCCAGTCTGACGTACTGCATTCAGGTCAGGGCCCCCAGCACGGAGGCGTGGGGCTGTGGGAGTGGGGCCTGAGGAGGGCATGGGGATGGTTGGGGGCTGCAGCAGCTGTGTGTAGGAAAAGGCTGAGGAAAGGGGGTGTGCAGCCTGGAAAAATATGGCTCTGAGGAGACCTCACTGCGGCCTTAGTGCCTAGAGGGACTGACGCACAGGAGGAGAGTGGCTGTGTATGTGAGCTGAGAGAGACAGAGCAAGAAGGAATGGCTTTAAACTGAAAGAAAAGAGACTGAAGTCAGATGGTGGAGGAAATCCTCCACCCAGAGGCAATGCAGCCATGGCACTGCTGCCCAGAGCTGTGGGTGCCCCATCCCTGGGGTTACCCGGGCTACGGATGGGGCCCTGGACAGCCTGAGATGGGGGGCACCCAGCCTACAGCAGGCAGTTGGAACCAGATGGCCTTTAAGATCCATTCCAACGTAACCTGTTGCGTGATTCCCTCTGAAACCGGGGAATGGGAGAGGAAGCTGCCTGTGTGGGAACTGCTCCTGCTGTGCAGCTGTCTGCATTGTGCTGAGCAGGAGGGGAAGTGGCACAGGGGGCTGCACAGGGCTGGGACTCCCTGCTGTCCGGAGCCGCCTCCTCCCAGCCCCTGCGTGCCAGGCCCTCGTCCTTCCCTTTTAAGGTGATGCTGGAGAGAAATCCATCTTCCTCCTCCCCTCCTTGCTGCTTGCAAGCAGGGCTGTTGAGCCAGGGCTGTTGTGCCGCTGCTCGCCGGCCACGTGGCTGAGCCTGGAGCTCTGGAGCCACTCCTGGGTTGTGGTTCCTGGCAGCGCAGTCTTGCCAGCACATCTGGCCTCGGAGCATCCTCCTCCTTCTTCCTTCCTCCTCCATCCCATGCCCTGGGCAGTGCTGCCTCACCGGCTGGGTTTGGCTCACAGCCATTCTTGGGTTTGGCACAGCACTGGCAAAGCACTCAGGGGGAGGCTCTTTGTGGGCTGGGAGACGGGAAGGGAAACCCCCTGTAGCATGGGGCCTCACTCCCACTGACTGCTGGCTCTCCCTGCAGGTAGGACAGGTCTTCCTCTACTTCCAGTGGTAAGTCAGCCCTCCTGCACCCCTCTTCCCTGCCTGGGGACTCTGTGCCCCTGCCACCTACTCCCTTAGGGGCTCTGTCTCCCTGTTGTCACCTCGGAGACCCAGCCTGTGCTCCCAGAGTGACAGCAGGGGTTGTGACACTCCCCCAGGGACAGCCTCCTGCTGGAAGCAGGCTTCCTGGCCGTGCTCGTGGCCCCTCTGCGCCTGCTCAAGTGGCGTTCCACAGCCTGGCGTCCACACGACAGCGTCACCTTCTGGTTGGTGCGCTGGCTGCTCTTCCGCCTCATGTTTGCCTCTGGCGTGGTGAAGCTGACCAGCCGCTGCCCCACCTGGTGGGGGCTCACAGGTGAGCAGGCAGCACCTTGGTGCAGCTTCCAGCCTCGGGCCGTGCCCTGAAGCAGCCGTGGGGCTCTTTGCAGCTCTCCTTTGTGAACCCAACTCCCCGACCCTCTGCTGTCCTCCCAGCTCTCACCTATCACTACGAGACGCAGTGCATCCCCACGCCAGCTGCCTGGTATGCCCACCAGCTGCCCGTGTGGTTCCAGAAGTTCAGCGTGGTGGCCACCTATGTCATTGAGATCGCCGTCCCTCTGCTCTTCTTCATGCCCATCCGTCGCCTCCGGCTCTTCGCCTTCTACTGCCAGGTGTGTGGGGATGCTGTGTGGCCTTCAGCGGGGTGCCCCTCAGGCTCTGTGGATGCCCCCAACTCCATCTGTGCTCGTGCCCAGGTCCTGCTGCAGATCCTTATCATCCTCACGGGCAACTACAACTTCTTCAACGCTCTCACCATTGTCCTGGCCTTCTCCCTGCTGGATGAGGAGCACGTGGGGCGCTGGATGGGGCGCGGCAAGAGGAAGCATGGCAGCTGTGAGTCCCTGGGCTCGTGCACTGTTTGGGGGCTGCAGTCCCCTCTGCAGTGTTTGGGACGGGGAGGGGATGGGCCACCATCACTGTCTGACCCAGGGTCCAACTGCGTGCCACGGGTTGGTCTTGCCAAGCCCTGTGCTCACCAATGCTGAGCTGCACCCCTCCTCCAGCAGCCTGGCCCCCTACTTTCCTCTCCTTCCTCTCCACCATGCTGGAACTGATCACCTACGCCTCGCTGCTCTACTGGAGCGTCCACTACTTCAGCCTGGAGATCGACTGGGAGAAGAAGCTGCTGGAATCCAAAGTGGGTACGTCACGGCTGCACTGGGGTGGCCGTCCCCACGGCCCTGCTGCCCCCGTGGGCACTGCAGCTGGCCCTGACTGCTGTCCCCCATTGCAGCCTTCACCTACCATGAGTTCACGCAGTGGCTACGAGTGGTGACGCTGCCCCTGGTGGGGCTGGGCTTCCTCTCACTCTCCTGGGAAATCCTCTCTGCTCTGTACCGGTGAGTGGGGTGGGGGCTGTGCTGGGCTTTGGTGAGCAGGCAGTGCAGGATCTGGCTCACACTGTGGGCATGGGGTGAGGGTGGCACAGAGAGGGTTTTGGGTTGGTTTTCTTTTTTTGTAGTGCTTGAGCAGGGCACAACCAGCGTGGCTGGAGCTGCTCCCAGCCCCCATCCTCTCCACAAACCGGAGAGGCAAGGGCTAACCTGGATCTCCATCCCCACAGCGTGACCCCAGCCAGGAGCTGCCCCCCTCCCCAGGCAGATGCAGCCTATGGGGCCACGCAGCTCTGATTCCTCACTGCACCTTCATCCCCTTGCAGGTGTGCCTGCGTCCGTGGCTTCTTCTGGAAGCTGTGGGCCACACTGCAGTGGGCCATCTTCGCCACAGCTACCATGGGGATGTTTGCCATCAGCTTGGTGAGCACATGGGGGGTGTGTGGCCAGGCTGTGGGGCACAACGCTGTGATCTTTGTCCCCTTGGCTGGGGCTGGGGGAGTTTGCTGTTGGGCAGCAATGCTCTGGGGATGGAGCACTCCAGCTCTCCCACGTCATATGTGTTTCTTTGAGGGTGGGAGGCTCAGCCCAGCCCCCCAGCCTCTGTTTCTTCTCCTTTGGGAGGTGGGGGGGTGACGTGGCTACCTTCTCTGCCACTCCCCAGGTGCCCTTCACCTACATTGACTACGAATCCAATGGCAAGCTGTGGCCTGGCATCCACCAAATGTTCAGTGCAGTCGAGCGCTTCCAGGTGGTGAATTCCTACGGGCTCTTCCGCAGGATGACGGGCGTCGGGGGGCGGCCTGAGGTGGTGCTGGAGGGCAGCTATGACAAGCAGAGCTGGACGGTGAGTGCCTACCTCATTGCTGGGGGCATGGGGTGGAACGGAGGGATGGGGGGGGG